GTTGCTATCGTGTGTGATTGAATAGCAATAAATAAATTAGTTTACTTGCTGCGTAATCTGACTGAACTGCATCATGTCATCAGACCATCAGTGAAAAAAATTTCGCCTTTTCTATTTGGCAATATTTCGACATTAACAGATATTTACTATTTATGTATTCATCATTAGAGTGAATAGCCCAGAAAAATAAATTCGTTTTTTGAAATGCCTTAACCCTAGAGTAGTCGCGCCTTTCCGTGAAACGTGAGTGCTCGCGTATGAGCATTTTGCCGCCCAAACTTAAAGTCCGGTTGTGTGTCAATTAACAGTTTAAAAATATGAAAATCAGTTAAAAATGATAGAATAAAGCATACACTATTAGAAAATAACGTTTATTAAAGATTTGTGGTTAAAATTTAAAGAAAAAAAAATATTTTGGAAATGTTAGGAAATATTTATAGAAATCTTAGAAACACTATTGTTTTTACCTACATACATCATCAAATATTAAACTTATTAGCACACTTAAAGGTTTTCCTTACATATGACATGTGCTTCAACAAAACAGGCCTGTCACATGTGCATTTAATGTGCGTTGCACAGTAAATTTGCACAACTATTGCACCCTTGGCACATCATCTTCAGATTCTGCCGCTGATTGTTCTATAACAGTATTGTAATGACTATGTTTACTTTCTTCATAACTTTAGTATACATTTTCCACTAATTTTAGTGCACCAGCTTCTTCGAAATCCGACATCTTCCTTGTTTTTTCATTTTTTTGTATTTTACGTGAATTTTACCGAAAACGACATGAAATAAATTAAGCACTATGAGTAATTATCAATGTTATGACGTCATTAATGTCAAAACAACATTATACGCAATGAAAACTAATAATTTTCCAACAACACTAAAAACCAGACACACAAATTTTACTTACGTCAGTAGTCGCGCAGTGAGCAATTTGCCGCAAAACGTGACATACGTTCAACAATCGTTCTCTATTGCGGTCACCTGCGCAATAAATTTCTTCTAATTTCTAATACATGGAGGTGAAGTATGGGGAGGCAGCTACTGAAACGCTTGACTTTAACAAACGCATCGTGTAGAAAATAACTCGATTTTTTTGCCGAGGGCGGCAAAATGCTCATAGCGCGAGCACTCTAGGGTTAATGTGTCTTTTTTGTAACTTTTTGGACTTTAAATAAAAGCCGTCATTATTATAAGCCATTTTATTGATATTTACCTCAAAGATTAATGTGTTTCATTTTATTAATAGGAAATTGTCGTAGTTTTTTAATATCCGGTATCCAGCCTGATAGTGAGTTACTATCCGGATCTTAACTACTCCGGAAGTAGGTACCTGGATGCGGGCAGAGCAGGACCTGTAGTTGTGGAAATCTTAGCTGAAACGAACAAAAGAACGGTTGACATTTTGTGTAGTAATTTAATTTTCACAAAAATAATTTACCAGAACAAAATGTCCATTAAATTAGCGCAAGTGGCTACAACATTCGCGCGCATTGAATCAGGCGTCCGCTCTTGCATGCAAAATGCGGATTTATTTTTTGCCTCCCATTAACCACGGTGTAGCGTGCACCGGGATTTCACCGCTACCACAGCAAAAAAACATTAAGTGACGTCACAATCACAAATCGGCTCTAGGTAACCATATTAGTTATTAACCATAATTCTCATACTGCTCCAGAAAGAAATATTTGCAAACGTGCGTACCTTACTACGTACCTTTCATTTTCCTAAATTTTACAAATTCATTTTCCTAAATCTTAAATCTGGCATCCTTGAAAAGCAGAGATCCACGTCTTGGTTAACATAGTATAGAACACACTCATGTCGATGGACCGATGACCTCAGATAATAGACAGTGCCAGGATGAAAAAATAAATATCCTTAATAAATAATAAATAAAATCTATATCCAGCAGTAGGTACTTACTCGTATTGGTGGTAAACGATGAAGATGCGCTATATCAAACTGAAGTCATATCCCCACTCATAAGATACCTTGATTAGGTATTCTTAATTCTTTGTTCCCATAATTTTGCGGGCGAAGCGAAATAAAAGCATCAAAATCACATTTCTCATTCCCTTTTACGTTGTCAATGTAGCCTAATCCTACTGTTTCTTATTTCACTATGGTCCCACACTTCCGAAAAAACTCATTTCCATATAGATTCCAGCGGGATTATTTTATTTTACACTGAATTTACACTATAAAATGTGAAGCCGTGTTGCGTGAAACAAAGAAAACCAATTTCATGTTATAATAAGTACTTCTATGTATATCTGGGGGCACGGCAGTGCCCCCACCAAGTCGAGCAAAAAAGCGGCACGGCCGTACCATCCTTTTCTCGAAGCAATTCAGGCCATTTTCGACCGCCTGTAACTTCGTTGTGGATAAAACTAGAAGGCTGAATTTTCATTAGCTATGCAGGCATTGTAAAGACACGGTATATTTAAAATTTCATTCAATTTGAACCAGTAGTTTAAGAATTATAACGGGTCAAAGTTACTTAATTTTGTCACTCACTGACTGACTCACTGACTCACTGACTCACTCACTGACTCACCGATCATCAAAACTCTAAGGCACTTCTAGCAGACCTAGAAGCTTCAAATTTGGAATATAAGTAGTGTTTGGTGTATGAATCAAGGAAAAACTAAAATATTTGGGGGCACGGTAGTGCAACCGCCAAGTCGAGTAAAATTTTTCAATTTCGGTCCAGTTTTCTAGATACATAACTGCTGTCTACAAAATACAAAAAGAAATGAGATCCCATCAAAAACAATACTTGTCAAAAAAACCAAGTCTCGCAACTCAGTTGTTCTACGGTAAAAAGTTGTGAGATCCATGTAATACCAAGTCCAGGCCAGGAAATCTTTAACGTTTTACATAAATATATTGACTTGGCCATCGCATGAAAACACGTGTAAATTAAATTATTTAGTGCGATGGCCAAGTCAATAATTTATGTAAAACGTTAAAGATTTCCTGGCCTGGACTTGGTATTACATGGATCTCACAACTTTTTACCGTAGAACAACTGAGTTGCGAGACTTGGTTTTTTTGACAAGTATTGTTTTTGATGGGATTTTCTTTTGCGAGGGCCAATTTTCTTTTGTGTTTGCTTACGTAGTAACATGTAAACGTGTAGTTATTTGTTTCTGTAACAATAATTTTAAACTTCAAATAATCTTCAACCTATTTGGTACCTCTCGGTGACATATTTCATATTTTAACTGTATTTATTGCTCACAATATACAGTCAGCATCAAATTGTTCGTGACACACAAAGTAGCCAATACCACCCAATACGTTCGCAACACGTCTTTATTGCAATTATTGGAATAAGGTAGAACACCAACTATTTGACGCTGACTGTGCCAGAACAAAACCTCTATTTACAGGCGGTTATGAAACAACACAATATTGATGTTAAAAGACGCCTCCCTCAAATCCTTACAAAGCCTATCGCTTAGATAAAATACTTACCTTTTACCAAATAAACCGGGCTAAAGTACCTATCTACGCCTACGTAATGGTAGCCATTTCTAGCGCATCATAAGAAAAAGCGATATAAACGAAGAAATATCTTTACGGGTACAAATAATGTCTAGTCCCAGCACCGGGAGGAATGTTGGGAAAACAATAAAAACGTTATGCCGCTTTGTCCTGGATATTTATTGGCTGTTGCGACGGTATCCAGCTCGATGGAAGAACATTATCGCAGTTTTTTGCGCAGTTCAAAATGGTGACACCTTCAACCCTTGAAGGATTCTTGCACGTGATCTTTTGACCTTGAATTACTTCGGGCTTATTCAGATATGTGGATAGTATTTGTCAAGAGCAGACAGCGGATAGGTATTCGGTTGCATATTTACTGAAGGTTGAATTTTGGCTGTGATATTATGGAAGCGGCTTCAGGGCTTTAAATAAATAAATAAATAAAAGGCTTCAACAACAGGATAATGGTTTTTTAGGTGAACCACATTGTAACAAGGCTTAGTGAACGGAGTAAAAATACCTACAGTTTTGATTCCGATAAATTTAATCTAAAATTGCATCCATATAAATCTAAAGATATCGATGAGAAGCGATGGTCTGTACTAATAGATAGCGAATACTAAAACCTACTTATATGTATCAAACAGTAGATACACTCAAATATACCTACCTGTGCTCACATTTGATGCAAACAGCGTAGGAAAATATTACGAAGTTACAAATTGAGATGTAAGGAAATCATGGTATCAAATAAGGAAAAATAAGACATAATAAAAACAATCATTTATTAGCATTACTTACAGACATGAAATATAGATAAAAGGGTAGATACAAAAGGTACCGTTAGGTAAGTATAGACGAGTACAATAATAAGATTTAAGTAGGAAATTGGCATTCAGGATCAATAACGAAAATAATTCAATTTTACAACATCAGATAAAATTGAAATGTATCTTGTAACAGTCCAAATGAATTTAATTCGTTCAGAATATAATTTTATATTACATTAAGAGTATTATTCCAAACAGTAAGGAAATGAGCACAATTTTGATATTTTGGTCCCATTTCAACAATGATAAGTTTAAAATTTCGTTAGATATCAACAGTAGCAATATGATATGAAACAGCTCAAGGAGGCCAAACCAATATTCGAAAACAGAGTACGTAACGTAATATATAGTAGATTAAACATATCTTTACATAGCACATTCCAAGCTCGACAACATACGTTATATAATGTATATAACACCGCTATTCCTTTAAGCAACAAGGTAAACATTCCGGTTCTCATTAAACGTCACTCTCCAGCTGCAGAACAATACCTTTGTATGTACGAATGACGGCACATCAATCTAATGTCGCATCATCTTAAGTGATTGCAATAGGTGTAATGTTTCAAAAAAATCGTATAGGCTGATGTGCTGTCTCTGTACTTAGTATTACTTTAGTTCACATAGAATCTCAATTTGAATTGAAGTTTTGTTGTCGGTTCCGAGAAAACTCGAGGAATTATGTAATTTGTAGCAATTTATTTGATTGACTCCATAAAGTAAGTTATCTTAATTTAACTCTAATGGGGTATTCAACTTCGCCGTTGTATCCGATTTTCTAAAGGGCCTTTATTTCCACTCTCCGATGGTTAATATAGCACCTGTCTCAAAAATACCTCAGGCGTGAAAGCCTTGAATTTCTGTAAATTGTTCAAATTTAACATTTCACTGAATGACACAAGATCGCTTATCGGTTTGGGGGTTAGACCTGACCAACCGGTTGAGGGTGAGCTTCGGACTGCCGCTGGCACTGTCGCTCTCGCCTTTGGCACAAGTCTTTGTTCTCATGATCATCAGGTCTGTTCTGATGCTGGGCCTCCTGACATTGGGAGCGACCACGCCGCAGGCATCTGACAATCTTCTCTTTATGGACAGCGTGCATTTCTTACTTCTATTGCTTTGGCTACTGGTAGGCGGCAGCGTGCAAGGACTGCCAAAGGCTGTACTGACCCGCTTGTGGTGGTTCGGTGCCATTTCGAGGGGCAAGTTGGCGACTACGAAGAGCTCGTAGAAAAGGTCGTCGACCTGGTAGTTCTTCTTGGCCGACGTCTCGACGAAGACGCAAGCCGAATCCTGGGTTGTGCAGTAAGCGACGGCTTCTTCGGGTTGGACAGTTCTGGCAACAAAAGATGGAATCATATAGCACTCCCATGTAAAAACAAGGGGACAGGTTTATTTTTAAAAAGCATTCGCATACGAGCACCACGAGCATACTTCGTCTGATGATAGATTATTTAATACGAGTAATCCTATTTAGTTCTTGGTGAAAGCAGCTCTCATTATTCAATATGAATTGTTTGAATGCAAGTAAGAGACCCGCGTCAAAATTAAAGCAAAAGTTTAAAACATGACAAATATTAGAGCGCAAAACAAACACTTTGAAAAATGCTGACTAAAATAACGTTTATCCTACAACGCAAACTATCACAAAGAAAACGTCGCGAAGTGCGATGATGCCCGCCACAATAGGGCGCAAATCGATTCTGTCTGGCACTAATGGAAACCGTTGCGGATTCGAATCAGGGTGTCTGTGGTTTTACAATTATGTGTTGATAAAATCAGATAATCTTTGATATCCTAAAGTGCTCTTATCACTGTTTGAAGTTTATAATATTTCGTTTATCAGAAATGTCTAAAATATGATTATATCACGAGCTCAAAAACGCTTAGGCAGTGCCTAACTACTTAAGCTGCGTTTTATTAATACAATGGTTATTTTGTAATTAGTTTACCCCGAAATAAAGCGAAAACTCAACCGAGAGCAAACTAAAAATAATACTGAATTTAGTAGGTAATAATTATTAAATTATAATTAATAGATTTAAAATCTCAAAATGAGGGTATTTGTATAGTAAGGTCCTTTGGTGACCGCCGAAGCAGCAGTGGGACTGTTAAACTGTAACTGTTAAGTAGGTATAAAAACGATAGCCCTCATTTAAATTTTAAGAGATTAACGCCCGTATTCACAAACATTACTATGAGGTCTCACAGTGCGCGTGGACGCACAGGGTAACACATGAACCAATCACAGAGCTCTATTCAACCTTCAACGCTGTGCGTTCGATTTGCTGCTTCACTTATGCAAGTATCATTTGTGAATATGGGCGTAAGGATACATGTCTTGTAAATGTTTCTATGTCACTATGGTAAAATTATGCTGCATAGAAATAAACCATAGCTCACTTCAGTTCCCTGTCGCACTTGTTGCCAGCGATCGCCATGGGCACCCTGGGCGCCTGTCTCTTCCCCCGGCTACCTCCGCTGGTGGCGCTAGCCTTAGTCTCCAGGATCTGCTCCCGGAGGCGGATCACCTCCTCGAAGGACTCCCGGCTGTCCATAGCGAAGACCAGCACGAAGATGTCACCTGAGAACAAGGATTTTAAGAGTTTGAGACCTCTTAAACCCTTCACAAACATTACTATGAGGTCTCACTGTGCGCGTGGACGCATAGGGTCAAAAAACCTATTCGTAGACGAAACTCGAGTAGCGGAGTGTCACACACTTGTTGTACTGGAGATGCCGTTGGTTTCGGACTAGCATTCATTTTGTCACTTGAAAATACTTAGAATCTCAGTGGTTGTCCAAAAAATAAGGCTTAAAACCTGTATCAGAGAAAAAAGCAATTGATATGAAAACAAACTTCACCCATAATCTCTTTATAGCTACCATTTCCGAAAATTTCAAAGTCGTTAGACATTTTTATCATCGTACTCAATACCCTCCGCCACCTCCTCAAGAATAAAACATCACACAAAAGCATTCAAGTTCCCGAAAGCATGGAAAATGTCTGGAAAATCCCTGACTTTTTATATCATACTTTTCTTTGAGGACGACTATTAAGATAAAGAAGGGCGAATTCCAGTTTCCAAAGCCATTTCTAAATATAAGTCCGCAATAGGTCCCATCAAGGTACCTACAAGCCGTGGCATAGTAGAAATAGATGTAGTAAGCACATTACACGCAATTTTGAAAATAACAGCAAACAATACATTAACATTTTGAAAATACCAGTCACGATATTCGGTCACTGTATGCGGGTAACTCCCAACAACGTTCTATATGTTCTGATGCGAGTACCTATTGTCAAGGTAATTTTAGCTTTTTAGCAAAAATACCTACTTGTAACTGTCTCTGTTTGTTCCCGTTCATATCTGAATGGACTGGATTTTCACTGGTAATATCCTGGTAATAAAAAGAATCTTGGGCTAATAATAGAGTATTCACAAACGATGCGTGCTTCAGTGTAGCATCAAATCGAACGCACAGCGTTGAATAGAGCTCTGTGATTGGTTCGTGTGTCACCCTGTGCGTCCACACGCACTGTGAGACCTCATAGTAATGTGAATACGGGCGTAAATCCGCCACCGGCTGAAATCTATGCGGGCGAAGTCGCGGGCAGACGCTAATCACAGTATGATTTATTAATCCAAAAATTTAGCCTACCGCATCTATATGGGGTGGTTCCGAAGGCGGATGCCGGTCGTATCGTACATAATCCGAGCTCATCCGGACTTAGTGGCTGCCTTTTTAATAATCTTTATGCGATCTCTATTAAAGTACTGTACATTCTCTGCAATTTTAATCCCACGGTAACATTTTGTGGGAAAATTTTAGCATAACAAGCGTTCATGAAAAAGTAGCTTCTCCCACAGAGTATCTCGCTGGTATTATTTTGTCATAGAGCTATCAAAAACAGCAGAAAAAAAAATTACTCTATCGTATTTAAAGCTTTTAGTTATTTAACTATACCTCTGCAGTCCCGTAACCATTACCGAATCTAACTACATCGTGGTTCACAATGCGACTGGTTGGATTTAATTGTGTTTTCAACTATTAATTAATAAGTTCTGAATGTTTCAGTTTTTGCCTCACAAATCTAAATTCAGGCGGAAATCACTTGAAACTTCAGGTTAAATACGAGTATAAAGCACCGTTACGAGGAGTGTGTATTTAGTACACTTGCAATCAGAACTTTCCTACTTACGTAAATAGGTCTGCGCTTCTAACCTTTGTGCATTTCGAAATAAATTAAACATATCTACTAGTTAACGAATATTATATTTAGCTTAGTACGAGGGGCTAACGGGAGTATTAGTAATTTGTGTAATAACAAATTACTAATAATCTTAAAAAAAAAAAAATTAAAATCTGTGTAATAAAGGTTAAATCTATAAAGTACTCGAGTGAAAAGGACCTAAAGTCTCAAACGGGTGTGGATTTATCATCATAATTTAGTCACAAGACGTCCACTGCTAAATAAGCTGAATAGGCCTCTTCCAATGAGGTAACGATTGACCGGTTAGCAGCGGCCTGCATCCAGCTAGGGCATGCAAACCGGTTAACCGGATAACCGAAAAACCGGATAACCGACACAATTTGGAACTCGGTTTTTGTCAGTTATAAATCCGGGTTTTTCGGTTTTTTCGGTTTTTCTTCTACGATTTTAGATAATTTAATAACTCATACAAGAACACGCTTCTTTAGTCATATCAATAAAAACAATTATTGTAATGCAATGTGAATGAGTAGAGTATAGTATATGGCTATGGTATTGAACTAAAGTACCATGTATCTTCTAGCTAAAGCTATAAGCGCGCGGGCGCAAAATGGAACGCGCTTTGTATTTGACCATTGCCGCCATTATTTTTGCTTTGCTAGTCTCTGTCAGTGTCAACTTACATATTATTTAAATAAGCATAACTATGACCAAATTTTCTTCTTGATTTGTGCCATTTTCCAGTATATAAGTGATACGAGTTACAAAATGAGATCAAGTAATGATATAATGAAGGATGATAGATGATTAACCCTACTTTTGCTGATTCACGTTGTAGTTGGTCTACCATATCAATCATATCTTCAATGCTATCACTGATCAGTGCGATATCGTCGGCAAATCGCAGGTTGTTTAGCCTTTCTCCATCGATTATTATTCCCTTGCTTGTCCAATCTAGCTCTTTAAAGATATTTTTAAGGGCAGCGTTGAACAACTTGGGCGATATGGTGTCACCCTGACGGACTCCTCTCTCCAGTCTAAACGCATTGGTTAACTTATAGAGGCGTATCGAGGATGTTCCGGATAGCTGAAGGTGTTTAATGAGCTGGATGTACCTTTCATCAACTCTACTGTCCGCCAGAGCTTTCTCCACTGCCCATGCTTCCACTGAGTCGAATGCTTTCTCATAATCGACGAAGGTGATAATAATTGGCTTCCGGTATTCATGACATTTTTCAATCACTGATGAATACAAAAGTAGGGTTAAAAATGAATTTGTCAAAAACGAAAATCATGACGAACATTGAAAATGCGAAAAATCACGTCCTACCTGTAGAATTGGTCGACCACTACATCTATCTAGGCCACAAAATCACTCTGAATTCTGAGAATCAGGTTGCGGAAGTAGGAAGGCGCATCGGACAAGCTTGGGCGGCATTCGGGGTAAACAGCCATGTTCTACGCTCCAAGAAAATTGCTCAACACCTAAAGACCAAGGTGTTCAACCAGTGTGTACTGCCGGTCTTCGTGTATGGGATGGAGACCACGACGCTGACAGAAAAGTCTGCTGAGAGACTCCGAGTCGCACAACGAGCAATGGAAAGACAGATGCTTGGCGTCTCCCTACAAGATCACAAAACGAACGAGTGGATCAGAGAAAAGACGAGGATCAGCGACGTGGTGGAAGAGATAGAGAGCCGTAAATGGAGATGGGCAGGACACATTGCACGGATGAACCAGGATCGCTGGGCCAGAAAGACCCTGGAGTGGAGACCCCGCAACAACACCCGCGGCAGGGGAAGACCGCCTAAACGATGGACAGACGATATCCGGCAGCAGGCTGGAGTGAACTGGATGCGTGTGGCCAGGGACAGAAAACGGTGGAGGGTTGAAGAGGAGGCCTATGTTCGAAGGCGAACCCAAAGGCTGACATAGATAGATAGATGATACCCTTTCCCACCCTTTGAGTCTCAGTAAAGTTGTGGTGCTTTACTGAGACCTCCTATGGACAACTTGAGAGAACCAGAAGAATCACGATGCACTGTTTTGCTTCACTTGCCCACACCCATGGACGTTCACGAACACTCAATGGTTAATAATCCACCATTATTACACATTAATAGTCGCCCACACACGAATTTGAGGAAATAAAACAAAACCGCTAACATGACGCCCGCCAAGAAGTCCTGACCAAAGGTTTTGCTTTGCTAATGAGCGAAGTATCCTATTGTTGATCTCTTTATATTTGATTTTTAATTAAACTATTCAATTGATCTCACAATATTATGTTCAGAACATGTAACTTCATCTTGTCAAACTAGAATATAAAAGAAATAAAATTATTTTTATTATAATTTGCAGCATTTTTATTTACTTACAAACAGTCGACCCGAAAAACCCGAAAAAACCGGTTTAGTTCGGTTTTTAAAAATGAAAACCGAAAAAACCGGTTTTTCCAAACCGCTCGGTTTTTGCATGCCCTACATCCAGCGTATTCCTGTAACCTTTATATGATCATTTTGTTTACCTTATGATGTGTTTGTTAATAAGATATTTGTAGAAGGCGTGGGTAGACCTTTGATATAATAATGCAGACCATCTTTAAAGGTAACCTAATCACTCCCACACACGTTAGGTAACTCAGAGACACAGCTATATGTTAATTGTGGTGTAAATGTAAACACCTATTACGTACATCAATTATTCAAGGAGAGCTTAGATAGTCTAATACAATCTTCAATCTATTAAGCAATCTATGTAATTGTTGCAAGTTTGATTAAATGACATAGATAGTAGAATCTACATTCTCTGAATAAATATGACTGATTAATTAACCCTAAGGTTAATCAATGTTCACAGGTACTTGTAACCTCAATTATTTCAACCCATACGAGAAAAGCGTGGACTTCCATCCACAAGGTGGACCGACGACCTCATAAAGGTAGCAGGAAGGCGCTGGATGCAGGCCGCTACCTACCGGTCAATAGGGAAATATTAGGGGAGGCCTATGTTTAGCAGTGGATATCCTGTGGCTGAAATGATGATGAAGGTGGATCACAGGCAGTTTGACCTTAGTTATTACAACCCACACAAGTAAAGAAGCGACTCTACCTAGCTTTATTTTTCGTCGATATCAAATCTCTGTACAAGCAAAAGTTAAAGGAGTAATTTGTCGAGACAAAATATCGATCACTAGGGACTATCTCGGCATTTGAGAGCTCTCCCAAGAGGATGTGCTTGGTTACATTGAAAACCAATCGACGACATTTACCGAAATACTATACTACTTCAGTCAAGCCAAGAAACTTATTTTGGAAGCGTACGAAATTGCACAAGTCGTATACGATGCAAGAATTGGTTAAATTCAA